CACAGAGAAACTCAATTTGTGTGAGATGCAATTCAATTTCTGTGAGACCCGCTTCCTCTGCATTGCAACCCTGTTTACATCAGTTGCTCTGCCAATTTGGACCTCCTCCCGCAGGGTGGGGAGATATGCAAGGAGGGGAGTAGCCCGATGTCGACACTCACTTTCAAGTTGCAACCCCATACTGCCAAGCTCTGCCAATTTGGACCTTTGGGCCTTCCCTCCTTGGGTGCCTTCCCACCCTGGGGGAAATTACAATCGGAGGGAAACTGGAATTGTCCACACACTCACAGAACATCTTCCGCCGTTGTAATCACAATCTGACGAGAAAGTTGTGGCCTCAAACATTACAACAACACCCTAGATAGTTAGGCAATCTGGTGCAATACCAAAAGGAAACACAAATACCTCCACACAGCTATTTCCACTGTCCATTATGTGGGGAGTTGATACCCCGAGAGGTCACGGGGACGCAGCATCATACACATTGTGTTTGCGAAATGTGCTGGTCTGTTTCAACTGCAAAGTATACATACCTCTCCTTTACCCTCCTTCTACCTCTTATGGACATGCTCTACAATAGTATAAAATATTAAAATTCTTTCCACCCTACAATGCCAACTCTTATTTGCAGGAACCACTTTCTTTCTCCCACTTTGTGGCCTCCAGTGCCCCAACCGCTGCCGCTAAGTTTCCCATCTTTCCCACCGACCACAGGGCAAAGTGGTGTAGACTCAAATGTACTTTCCGAATTTTCCGACAAATGCAATTTAAAAACCATGAATGAATCTGATGGTGATGTTTCCAAGAGAGAGATATTGGCATGCACTCCCCCTCCTCTCATAAATGTGCGCACTTCCCCCTCTGCATTTTTGTTTTTTTTGTTTTTTTTTTTTCTGAAAAGAAATGCTTTACCACATTGTGAGTCTGTCAAAATCTGCATTTTACTCCACCCCCTCCCACACCCACACACAATGGAATTCATATTTACACCCCCGACCACACTAAACTGAACACCTCACCATGCATAAAATCCTGCATCACACAAATTTCCACCTGCCTTTTCTCAATGCACTCTCCTCCTCGCCACCAACCAAAATGTCCGGATGCTGCAAACACCTTGCCAATCCTACTGCAAACAATTTTCCACTGCTTCATTTCCCACTCCATTTTTTTGCCGATTTTCGCAGGCCAACCAGAATAACCAGTCAGGGAATATACTTATCAAATGTAATAAGTGAATGTAACCATGCCCACGAGAGTCATTGCCCTCAAGGTCTCTCCCTCTACTGCCACCCCACAACCCCCCCAGGGCGTCTTTCGTCCCACGAACATGATTTGGCCGTACTTTACATTTTACAGCGCCATAGACAATGAATACATGCTGAATATTTTTCTCTGCAACATGCCCTGGAAATCACATTCGCACCTCAATAAGACAGTTCAACCGCCCCCTGGTTCTTCCCAACTACAATTACATTATTAAACTGAAAAACTTTGCGCGTCTTCCAAAGTTGGCAGATACCGCAGAATTAAAAGACACTCCAAAAACTCAGGAGTGCAGTGAGGAACACTCGACAACCCCTAGCTGAAGAAGAATAATCCCCTTCTCCCTGCTTTCCATTTTCTTCCACTTTTCTGTAACATCAGGAGATATTCAGCCCTTCAGCATCTTTTCACCCCTCCTCCCAAAAAGGTCGGGAAAATGCTGCTCCCATGGTCAACGCTCTGAAAAAATGATATGTCAACATACATTGATTGACACAGTGATGACACACTCCAATTTTCCTGACCGCCAACATAAACACACAGCCATCTTCATTGCAGTTTCAAATTGACTGATCACATCGTTGACGCTCTACCAACTTGGTACATATCCCTTTCCAGTGCAACACTCCTCCACTTCTCACAACCTTCATGATACTACACGTACCTTCCTTCCAGCTTGTTTGCCTTAAAAAAAAAAACAAAAAAAAAACAGTGTTACAGCTTCGACCCAACTGTGTGTCAGCACGGGCCCAACTTCCGCCCTTTTACTTCATCGCATCCCAGCTACCTCTTTCTGAACTGGTACTTCACTCCAATGCATCTATTATAACACCCGTTGCATTCTCCTACGATGAAGAAGATAGCCTCTGCTTCAACCCTCGGGAGGGGGGGCAAAGATGCGCGACGAACAATATTCTCTACCGTAGAACACTGCTTTGAAACCTCCACCTTCATACCTCCTATGCTTCTCTTCTTCTTCTCCTCATGCCCACCAGCATTTTGAGCATAAGTCGTGACAATCCAGTCATTTCATCATATACACCAGTAATGGTCTAAGTCATCTGATGACATAATTAAAATTTAACAAGCAGTATTAGTACTGTATTACCCCTCCTAGCGGTAGAGCCGGTCAAAAAAAAAAAAAAAAAAAAAAAAAAAAAAAAAAAAAAAAAAAAA